GGGCAATTTGTAACCCTTAACAAGGAAACTGTAATGTAAAGGTGGAGTGATATGAATCGGCAATGAAAGGAAATGAATAAATGCATGCATAATGCAAAAATTCTTTTTTCTCTATAATTTTCAGTTTCCACAACCTGCTGGAAATCAGCGAGAGTCTTTCCACAGCAGAGCATTCTGCATCTTGTAATACTGGCTGTTGAAATGCATCTGCCGGGATTCTCTCTGGTACTTTGCTGGTGTGTTCTCCCTCCTCAAAGCCAAAGCCCATTACTTGCCTAGCTCCTAACTTTGCTGGGAGGTGACTTGCCACATCAGGACTCTTTTTAGTAGAAGCTTTCAGGCCAGGGGTGAGCTTGCAGCATGTTCTGTTGATGTGGCTCAGCAGATCTATTCAGAGGCACAGACCCTGTCTAGATGAAGTGCATGACATCTTTTAATTAGCCTTGTAATATCCGCTGTCCATTCCTAGTTGCATATATAACTGTGGGAGTAATAATGTTGTGCTTCAGCCCAGCAAAGCCACTTACTTCCCAGATGACTCCTCTCAGTGCTGTGTGCTTCCTACGAATATGTTCTTCCACAGTGTTTGAAGCAGGATATTTCATTTGCTTTGCCGCAGCGTCGAGTGAGACTGGTAGTAGTTGTGTTTCAGTCATATTAAGTCTGTCAAGAGGGCAATATGTGAAGTGAGGTCTCCTGGTGTGGCATGGAGGCTGCCTAAACGTAATAGCTTTGAGCGAAGGGAAGAGCTGTATTCAGCTCCACGTGGAGTTAGTTTGACTGTCAATGACTAGCAACAGGACTAGCAGCGATTGCTGATATCAGTAGTAATTACTTCAATAATATGAATGTCTCTTTTAATTGAACTTTGAGGTATTTAATATATTGTTGCTGTATATAGCAATGACTCTAAAAGGCAGAGAAAAAACTTTTGTACATGAAAAAGGAAGAAAAGATGCATCCACACTTCTGTACCAGTGACTCCAGCAAGCCTTCATGATTTCTGTATGTGCCAAAAGCCATGCACATGCTCTGTAAGCTATCAAAACTTCCAGCTGCTGCTTCTAGACGTATGCACTGCAATTCTGCCTCATTGTGGGCAAGTCATTTAACAGTTTTGTACCCCTGTTAATTTTAATCTGCCTTGCTTAGTGATCCTTGGAGTAGGGATTATTTTTGAAGTGCATGCACTTTGCTTTGTAGAAAGTGTTGAGTCTCAGTTAGATTGCTAGATGTTGCCTAAAAGTCTACATATTTTGGGGAAATGTCCACTTGGAGAATAATGTAGCTTTGTAGTCTGTTCCAGACAAACTGATGGAGTATGTTGAATGCAGTGAAAACACTCCTCATCCTCAGTACCTGATTTTTATCTTTAAATGTAGCCCATTTCGATCAGTGCATCATCGAGCATGCCAGGTGTTGCCTTTGCTGCCTTGGACTTTTTTACATTAGGATGTCAGAGAGAGTCTCAACTTTTCCTGAAACTCTGCCCTTCTGAGAGACGTGGTGATTCTGTGGTCCTTCAAATTGTAATGTTAGGTTTGGGAGGAAAGAAAATGTGTTTGTGTTTCGATGGGTTTATTCTACATGTTTATTATTACAGCCTTTTGGGAAGTTTTTCGTGCTCAGCTGACAATGTAACTTATCAATTATTGTTATGGAAGAGTCACAAGAGCTGTATTCATTCACATTTGGCTTAGGTACATGTTAGCTTTGCCCAGAGCTCCAAACCTGCCAAAGCCCAAATGTGGAATGTGATGAGTATGGTAAAGACTGGACTGGTGAGGAGAAAAAAAGCTATTCATGCAGAAAACCTAAAATTTTGCCTGTAGTTAGTATAATAGAATATTGTAATGCGTTTTATTATGCTTTATTTCTGATGTGTTGGCAGTTTTCCGTTTCTTCTGATTTTTCTGCAGTCAAATCAATTTAGTTGGTTATTATGCCTGCTTCTAAAAGGCATATGGTGAAGTCATACTCCCTTTTTTTAGTGAGTGGCAGGATGGCATGGCTGGCATTTGTATTCTGCTGCATGTGTATTTCTAGCCCAAATGACTAGGGACCACTTTGGGTGGGCGCTGCTGGGAATGGTCTTCAGAGAGGGGTTCCCAGGACTGGATTTACACTAAATAAACAGAGGTCATGAGGGGAAAACTGTGATTCATTAGGAACCCTGGTTTAGGTTAAAGTGGTGAAAATAGCTGCAGGACATCTTAAATTAGTTTAAAAACTAGAAAAGTGCAGGAATCCAATCTAGAGTATTTTGTAAATTGTTCACTTTTCTTTTTAGAGTTCTCTGCCTTACTCTCCTCTGTTCAGTGTAACTAGGTATGTAATCCAAAGAGATAGCCAAAAAGATTCAGCTGTCAAAGGTTAAGATTCTGTAAACACAGGCTTTTTTAGGCAGTCCTGTCAGTACTACTATGTTTGTCTTCTGTGTTCTAAAACAGAGTTCCTGGAAGTTTTCATTTTCTGTTCTGTTTTTAGGCAAGATGCAAGAAATGGGAGTAAAATACCAGAAAACCCTTCTATATATTGCAGATAAACTTACTACATTGTTCAATACAATTGCTTTAGTTATTCATAGAAATGTTCCATAATAGACCAGTGAACATGTGTGTTGTATGTTTTATGTAAAGAAGACATAATTATTTGACTCCTATCCATATACTCTTACCAGAATGTTACAGGCATGAATTTTTCAGTCTTGCACATTGGCAGTGTTACAATGACTCCACTTTCTGCAAATACTCTGTATTAAAAAGATATGCTTTATGTTTAACTTTGCAGATCCAGAATGCTAATGATGTGCTAATAGCACCACTGGAGAAGTTTCGTAAAGAGCAAATAGGAGCAGCAAAAGTAAGTGGCCATGGAAACAATTCTTTTTCATTTCATGTTTATTTGAGTTTACCAGTGTGTTTTGAAGGCTAGACTGAAAACAGGCATTTGTATTCAAATATACTTGGTGCCATCCTCATTAATGTATTAGTAAATTATACTGAATTCTTTGCTTCAGAGAAGGAGATGATTTAGAAATGGAGTTTAAAGACTGATTATATGCATAGGGTACAGCTCTTGCTACTATTGCACATTCTTACCCTCTGGAGTTCTGTTCATCTTCTGATGTCTGCATTTATGTTACGTTGCACTTTGGGTTAACCCAGAACCGCACAGAGAGTTCAAACAGCTGCTATGGGTACAGTGGCCCTGAAGTGGCTGTTGTATGAAGACCAGAAGAAGTCAGCGTGCTTTAGGCATACTCTCTTTCCGTCTCTGCTTTCCCTCTCCACTTTACACGGCTGATGCAGTGCAGTGATTCATATTCATATTGCCAGAGTATTCATCTTCATATTGCCCAGAGATTTTCCCATGGCGGAAGTGCTCCAGTTGGTGATTTAAGCTAGTTCTCTGGTGTTAAGTGTTACACCTGTGTTAGAGAAACAGTGCAGGTTGTCTATACCAGGGTTCAGTAGTCAGCCTAGGAAATCAGATATATTGGGGAAAAAGATGTTGGAATGAACTGTTAGTCTAGAAGAGCTATTTTCAGTCTGATCTGGAGTCTTAAGTGGTTATCAGTGACTGCTTTGATCACAATCTCAGAGAGAGGCATAAAGGCTGCGGTAGTCAATTAGAGGTGTGGTTAATAACAGTTCCGTCTGTCTACATAAATATGCTAGTTCTGAAGCATTTTGCATCTTGTATTAGCACTCAAAAAATTTTCTGGAAAAATTTCCATTTGTAAGGTTAAATGGATACGAAAAAAATCTCTCTTTGATGTTGTAGCTGAGGTTGTGCTTGTGCTGTACTCAAACAATCTCAGAAGAACAGAGCTGTTGGAAAGAGAGACTGAAGGTTTATACTTTTTGTACTGCTATTGTGAATGTGTAGCAAACAGATGAGACTGCTTCCACACAGGAACTAAGTAAATGTTTGAGAAGAATTTTTACTGTGAACTTGAGGTCAGATTTCTCCGAAATGGATGTTCTTTACCCTCTTACTTGATATGTTTTTGTGTACAACTGCATTCTTCTCTTGTCCCACCCCTATGCTGCTGTGAGATGTGGGGTTGGGAGTTTATTTACTGTGTTGCACAAATCAGAATTTAATCCCAGCACAAAATTATTTTTAGTTTTCAGTAGGTTTTAGTTGTATTGTTCTGTTCCCTGTGTTACTATTTCATTTCATATTGCTGTAGTTTAAGGGATATCATTCTTCTCCGCAGAGAACCCTGTTTGAAAGCCTAACCTGCCATACTATTGACTGTCCTGGTACATCAGAAAGACAACCCATAGGCCCTTCACAGGGCTCTCTGCAGAATTGTATAAGACACTCATGTCTCCTTTGAATATATCACTCAGTAGATGTCAACACATATTCAATGATCTAATTGCAGATGACTCCTTTGTTTTTTGAGTCAGCAAATATTTAACATTAAAGGCAGGGCACTACAGGACAGGGTGATACCTCTCTGTTTGGTATATCAAAATGGCTGGTTTCCTTTCCATATCCCTTCCAGATAAAATATGGGCAGTTGCCCATCTTATATAACTTGTGGAAACAGTGATCTTTTTGACTTGTCTGTGTTCACACAACAGTGTACTGAATGAGCTCAGGAGAGAGCCTGGCTTGGCTAACTCTTATTCCAGTGTCTAATGCACTTTATTATGCAGCACTATGTGTGTTGGGGCAGTCCACAATACTGGCTTGACACATTGATACCATATAGAGAGCTCTCCCAGCTCATTGTTTTAAAAAAATGTCAAATAAACTTGTCTTTTCTTGCACTGCTCATGGAGTTCAACTGTCAAGCTCAAAAATGAGAGATTTGGACCGCCTGCATAACCCAGATTGCGATACAAACATTCGCCTCTGAATTGATTTTTATCAGCGGAAGCAATTACAGTTGGCCTTTAACTAAGTGGAATCAACACAAAGAAGTGAGAGATTAATTACATTTAGTACTGTTTTTCTAGTAATTACAAAATAGCAACGTGTGATCTAGGAATAATGAGACCAGTAGGAAATAGAGTAGAAAGTTGGGCTTTTTGAAATGCATTGCTAGTAAAGTAGAGAACATGGTCAGATCACTTACTTCCACTTCTGTTCACTGGCCTCAACCCTTGAGCATTTATGAACTCTTACAAATATGGGATGAGTTGAGCTTGCTAGTTATTTATATGCAGTTAATGAAGGTTTGCATAGAGATTTGGCTCTTTGAACTCCTCTGGGGTGATCTGAACTGATAGCCAAACAAAAAACATAGACACTTTCTTGTTGCTTGGATTTCAGCAGCAAGTTTCACAGGACACTGAAAATGTCACTTTCTATTTGAGGTCTTCTCTAAACACGTAAGCTGTATGAACCATGTATCAACTGTTACTATTTGCGCTGAAATATCAGGTTTGAGCTGTTTTTTCCCCTAATATTAACTTACAACAGTGTGTAGAATTGTATTCATATCAAACCCAAATTTGCTTTTGTCATCCATGTCCCCTCCAAAAAAACCCAAAACATTTCTGTGGTTGTGTTCCTCTCCAAAGAGAGGCTGAGATGGTGCAGACTCCACAGGATAGCTGATAGTTATGTCATATTATATATTTCTAGAGCTGTGAATTTACAATTAATTTGCATCATAACATCTTATGGACCAACATTTTAAGAAATTAGGTGTAGAAGCGCGAGAGTAATTGTATATACCTTTTGCATTGGCAATTTCGGCAGTAGCTAGAGATGCAAGCATCTGGTCTTTGTGATCAGCCTTACGCTGTGAGAGTATATTTTATAAGCAGTGGTGAGCGTTGGACTCTCTCTCTTCTAATTGGACTTTGATATTACTAATTTTAGTACTTTGTTAAGCTACATTTCCAAATTTTTGGAGGAAAAAAAAATATTAGATAGTTGTGTTATCAATATACATAATAGGAAATTTTATTAGGTACTACTGTCAGATTTTGGTGAGGGGAAGATTATGAGAACAAGCACTTAAAAGTGCTTACTGGGCTTTTTTCTTTCTTTTCTAAAACACCAGGTAAAATTCAGCTGGAGATAAAAACAAGCAATCCCCCCCACTGCCCCGCCACAAACACACAGGAAAAAAAAAAGAGAAAATGTTATAAATTAATGACAGTTTTCACTATGACAATGACCATTTTATTTTAATAATAAGTAACTTAGAAAGATTTTTACTACCGTGATGAACTATGTAGGACTATCCTATTGTTGTGTTTAATGTAGAGAATGGGAATATTTTATTCTTTCTTCAAAACTATATCAAGTTTAGGCAAAAAATATAATCACAGAAATCAAAGAGAATATGGAGAATAAAATATATCCTGTTGATGTTACAAAGCTGTATTTCAAATACAAGGACAGCATAAACCCAGAGTGCAAGTTCAAGGGTTTTTGGAACGTCAGAAGAATAACATTAAAGACCAATTCTTCACATGCATTTCAAAAACCTGAAGGTATCAAACAAATTTGAGAAACGTTCCCCATAAAACATTAGCGTTTGTAATCAAACCAGCAATACACGATTCTACATCACTTGCTCTTCTCCATTTATACTACTCGCTCTTCTGTTTTTATTGCACATATTTCAGTTCTTCCTTTTCTGTACACACTCAGTTTAAATAAAGCTGAGCTCTCTCCAGAGACTACACAAACCCAGCTTTGCATTGGATAGCCTGTTGATTTACTCCATCTGAGTTTAAAAAAATGACCTCTGCAATTATTGTAGAAACGCGAGCAAAAGCCGGGTGAGGTAACTGGGAAAGGATTTCAGGCACGAAGCATTTTGCCTTATTTGGTAAATGTGGTTTGCAAGTCCCCAGCTGGTAACTTTGGTGAGATCATTGTGTGATGTTTTATGTACAATAAGGCCTAGCTTTCATGTTTCTTTTTATCCATTCAGTAGGGTATTTAGCAATATTTGTTCCAATGTTCGTTGACCTTTAGTACAACTTAAAGCAGATCAAAGACAACAGAAGCAATTTTGTTTTTAAGACTTAAAAGGAGAGTTTTGTTTCCTCCTTACAATTCCGTCTGTTTGTTTCATAAAATTATTTATTTTGGCCAGGAGGATTATTTTTTATTATTATTATCTACTTTCATTCATTCATTTGAAGCTGTGAATTCCTTTCTACTTGGGAAACAAATCCATGTTCATTGCTGGGATTAATTTTCCTGCATCTATGTTCGCATCTATACTCACATGACGTAGGCACACAGGAGTTGGCACGCTCTCTCTGTGTTTTATTTGGATTGTCTGGAAGTTGAGGAGCATAAAACAAACAAATCCCCCTCCACCCCCCATTTGTGAAAGTCTGTCAGAAAGCTGTCAAAGCAGAGTTTTAGATGGGTATCTGAGATCAGTTAGAAATGCCAGAATGCCCATTTTGTGAAGTGGTTTCCTTGGTATCTAATCAAATTATAGCATTTGTTGTCCTTTAACTGAGATAAATGAATGACCTTGCTCTAATAGGTAAGGTGGAAGGTATTTCATTATAAGCAGCATCTGTTACTCAAGGTTTGGTGCTTGTGTCCCCTAGTTTTGGCATATTTTAATGTCAGTCTGAACCATAGAGGGAAGGGGGCCAGGGGAAGGAAGCAGAAATAGAGGCCAGGCCAGGATAATTGGTGGCCAAATGTTTTGAGTTAAAATGCAACAGTTTCTCAAATTCAGGTTACTACGAGAGTTACCTGATACCTTTTTTGATAAGGTAACTTATTCTGTAGGCAAGGAAATGCAGCGGATCAAACCTATTTCTATTTCAGCAAGGCCTTTAAAGCACTTTACATGAGTCATTATAATTTAGTTTAGATGGGGGCTAGTATAAGAAACCCGATCTGTCTAAGGAACT